ATCAAGCCCCGAAAATGATTAGAAAAACTACAAAATACTTCTGGAGCTGAAATCAAAAGCTCGATCTGAGACTGATCGCTGAAAACAAAAAGGCAGCAAAGGCAATAATTGGCGTTTTTTGCAAATGATTTCGTGTTTTCAGTATAAATACTCTCTGTAACGGAATACAATTCAAAAGAAAAGTATAAGAGATGTTGAATACTAACCAAAAAGAGAGAGTGAGCTATTGTTTATTCACCGAATCGAAAACCCACCAGGTGTGAGTTTCTTCTCAATCGGATTCAGATAGTACCGTATAATACCGAGCAGGGAATCAGAGTTTCAGAGGTGATTGGAGACAACCGAACTGCGATGGCTGCAAATTGTGTGTGAGGGGGAAGCGGAGAAGAAGATGAAATCTTGGTGATGGTAACCGCGAAATTCAATTTATTTGTACTTTTTCTTTCTTAATAAAAATGGTTCAGTTTGAATTATTGAATTTATATTCTTGTATCCTACGGTGAATTCCTTTTGGCAGCCAGGTATTCTGTGCGGCTACGATTTGTGTACTGGAAGATTTCAGGCCGCTGGTATTCGAATTGTTCATCGACTATGGGCCGATCCAGCAGATTTGCTCCACACTGCAACAGAACCAACTTATAGGCCGCCCAACAACCTACTATTTGATCAAGGATAATTCTATTTGAAATCGCCAAATTGGTAATTAGCGTCACCAATTTAGTTATTTTGCAATGACAAAACGTCGAACGGGACACAGGTAGTAGTTTTATATACTCTGTAAATATTATATTTGTACTGATGTTATAGTTATGGTAATATTATTATATCATTAAAGTCTATATGTGTAGTATATCACGTAATTATAAAAAATGAAGTTCTTGAGTTTCTACTTCCAGAAAGTCTTCCGTAAGTTTAACATCTTTGTCTCGACCCAAGATACGAATTATGCTTGGGGGACGAGATTTGATCCTAGAGAAACAATGATTGATAAGGAGATGGAACAACTTTTGTCACAACATCAAGGGCGTTTTCTTGCACAAGAGACCATTCCATAATTTCATGAAGAAGAAAAAGTTGTTTCAATAAACAACGACCCACAAGGAGGAGCTCCCCCCCCCCCCTCCCCCCCCCCCCCCCCCCATTGATGAGAAAGAGCGGCGGCGGCTATTCCTCACAAGTCGATAAAGTTAATTCTAAAAACAATAGGATCGGTTTTTTTGTTTTTCATTTTACAAAATAGAAGAACCTCGAAGATGTCGAGATAAGGATTGGTGTAGCCAAGGGCTATGGCAATGTGACAAGACATTTTAATTAACTTTTATGTATGTTTTCCAGGTTGTATTACTATTTGTAGTGATGTTTTCATGGAAAGATAGATATCATTACTTGTATTGTTTAGCTGTAATTGTGCATTATACTAATGATGATGAGATGATGCATAAGACGACTATTGCTTTTGGAGCATTTAATGAGAATACACTGGTGATAATATTTATATTTTAATTGAAAGAATTTTAAGTGCATATAATGTGACTGATAAGGTCTTTCCTTTTGGATTTGATAATGCAAATTGTCATATTTTAAGCTAGTAACATGCGATAAGAACTCTTTCCAAATATCTTGGTATTTATAATCCTTAGTCATTATCTGATGTTTAAAGAAGAAAATGAAAATGAAAAGTAGAATTTAAAAAAAAAAAAGTGATTGCGGATAAGAAGAAAATACAGAAAATGTTTTAAATGCCTCAATCCCTTTGCAAGTATTTCAGTTTGCATTATCATGGATCAGGGGTGAGCATGTGATGGTACGTGACGGTTCTCTAAGAAAATCATATGCATATGTAGATGTAGGTGTAGGTGTAGGTGTAGGTGTAGGTGTAGATATAGATATAGATATAGATATAGATATAGATATAGATATAGATATAGATATAGATATAGATATAGATATAGATATAGATATAGATATAGATATAGATATAGATATAGATATAGATATAGATATAGATATAGATATAGATATAGATATAGATATAGATATAGATATAGATATAGATATAGATATAGACGGAGCGATTCCGGTAAGAACAGATCTTAGGAGAAAAATGAGAACGAATCTGAACCGTTGGATTGTATTATGTGGAACCAAATGGTGCATTTGGTGAAACTGAAATGTGCATTAAATGATATTGAAATGTGAAAGATAAAAATTTAAACTCAAGTGTGCATTAGATGAAACTAATATGTGCAACAAAAAGTACAAAAATAACATCACATCATACTTTTTATTCTGCACATTTCAGCTTCACCTAGTGCACATTTCAATTTCACGTAATGCACAATTCAACTGCACATAATGTCACTCTATCGTACCCTTTGTGATGCACATTTCAATTTCAACTAAGGCACATTACAGTTTCATCTAATGCACACTGAATTTCACTTGATGCAAATCTAACGGTCCAGATTCGTTCTCATTTTTCTCATAAGATCGTGTTCTTATTTGAACCAAAACCTAGATATAGATATAGATATAGATATAGATATAGATATAGATATAGATATAGATATAGATATAGATATAGATATAGATATAGATATAGATATAGATATAGATATAGATATAGATATAGATATAGATATAGATATAGATATAGATATGCAACTTAACAACATTGGGTCAAGTAATTGGAAATATAAAAAATGGAAAAACTTATTTAAGGTAGTAGTATTGTTAAACAACATTGGAAAGTTTTTTGAAATCTTTATGTGTTAAATATTGTGCATTTGTAAAAGATACTACGTATATTTATTAATTGGAATAGTACGAATTAATTCTTAGACTTAAAAATGAGTCGTATGTTTTTTTTGAAGGATGTCAATGGCCATATCATTGATCTGTGGGAAATAGATACTATACAAAAATTTGCCAATGTGTTTGTTTATTTTCATAATGCTATAAAAAAAAATTCTTTATGTTTATCAACCAATTAACTTGTGACATGTTTTTTGTTGAAGCTGTTACAAGTTTGCCTTTTGGGACTAAAGCTTGGATGTTGTTGTTGTTATAAGTTTGCTGATGCGTTTAAAGAATTTTAAACTGCTCAATATGTTCAATATATTTGTGTTTAGGTGACGATTTTTTTTATGTTATTGCTTTTATTCTTGATCCTCGTTTCAAACTTTCTAGCTATGAAACTTTTCAAAGTATTATTGTAACTCTTTCTATGGTTAATTTCATATTTATGAGGATAACTTTATGGATACCACAGGTGGATCTATAGGAGGGGCAGGGCGGCCGGTGCCCCTACTTTAGCCGTTCGAGTATGGGGGAAGGGCTAGGAGCGTAGGGAAGTAGGGAGGGTCAGTCTATGGAGTTTTCCATCGACTCCGGCGAGCGGCAAGGTGAGCTGAAATCCGTCTTTGAGTCTTTTAGATGGAGGCATGTCAACTCACTCTGTTGCTGCCATGCGGAGCCCGTCATCCATAGGTGAGATGTGGAGAGGATGGATCGTGTAAGGAGATTGTCTTGCCTAATGGTGACCCTCATGTGCCGAATGGTGACCCTCATGTGCCGAATGGTGATCCTCATGTGCCGGTTCTCTTTGAGTGGTTGTTTCATAGGTCGCTGAATTGAGAAGGCCCACATTCTATGTTGGGTCATGTCGGGTTCACTTGGAAAGTCTTCGAGAAGGCCCCCACCCCATTCTTTACTTAATCTACCATCATTTTATTGCTAAATTGAGATTATTTAAAACATCAAAGTGAATGAAATTATTTGTTCAAGACCTCTAAAGTATGGTAATGATTCATTCTCAATAAATGAGCTCTTGATCAAACTTACCCAAACATATACTTCGTATTTATGAATGTTATAAAATACTTGGACATAGAGTAGTTATTTAAGTTTGAAATTGGACTATACACTCCTCAGATCTCTCTGCCTGCTGCTTGATGGTTTATATGAAGTGATCATGCCCCCCCCCCCCCCCTCATAAAATAATTCTTACTTGTGCCACTGATAGATATCTATGCGCATTCTAATGAGATTAGCATTTATTTCACAATTTATTTAATAAATTTCACTCACAGGATTTTGATGTCTTCCCTCTCCTAAAAGAAACGCCTTCTTCATCTAAAAATAATCTTTTTAAAAGTACCATTAAAAATCTTTTGAAAAAATAAATTCACTCATGTTGCTGCACAAAGCTCAAATAACGAGTTGTTTTTATATCTATGTTTCCTTGTGAGTATGAAGAAGATGATGACTTTGATTTATTACAACGGCGGAAAAACAAACAATCAATGTTTCTCATATTATAATAAACAATTGCGAAACAAGTTATATTCATGCTGATTTCAACCGTTGTGGTTGAACAAGAGCTCAGTAGCATCGGTAACGTCTTTACCAATTATAGAATAAATTCGAGTGCTCAAACATTTGAAGCACTTGTGTTTTTCCATGATAGGGTAAATGCAAAAAGTGAAAGTTCGGACAACTAGAGCTTAATTAGATTATTATTTTGCAAAAGAACTACGTCATGTTTGATTTATATATCGACTATCATTATGAAGTGAGTATGTAGCCATATAAGTTTGAAAATATATGTATTTATTTAATTTTATTACATAATAAAAAAATCAATATACTGACAGACTCGGGAGTCGGGACCGGACCGCTTTAACCGGGTCTCATACCGCGTTGGTTAGACCGGTCAGTCCGTCTAAATGGTCCCGGTCCCGGATTCATTTTTTATTTTATTTCCCCAATAATTTTAAACAAAGGAGTAGATACATTTAAAAGCAAATGTATAAGTAACGGCTAACCGAAAGGCGTAACAATTAACGATAAATTTCAAATTATTATAAATCTCAAAACGTTAAACGATATAAATATTAGGGCATAAAGCATATGAAATTAGTGCATAGCATTTGAATAATTGTCCAAACAAAGATTTGAATAAATAACACTCAAACACAACACTTATTCATTATTAGTGTGGACAGCTTAAATGAGTACTAATTGTTTCGTATGAAAATGCCTTCCCAACACACCATAAGTGTTGCTTTCGTGTTCTCTCAAACATAAAATATTTAAACAATGAAGATATTGTACATAAAGCATGTTATTTGACATGTTCATATATAGATCAATTTATCTTATTTGGGAAGGGATTTTTTTATTTGATCCTATATGTATTATGTATATAGCAAGAAAAAGATGCAAATAAATTGAATTTATTACTTTATTATCTTGTTGTCGATAGCAAATTTTATTTATATGTTCCATACTTCCATACATGTTTATCTAAATGTCAGTATAACAATTTGAAACTGCAATTATTATTTTAACCCGATAGGAACCCCTCTCTAGCTCTTCTGTTCATCTCTCATCTGCAAGATGTAAACCCTAACAACAGCGGCGGTGCGTTTCTACATCGCTTCTCCAGTGCTTCGCAACTCTGAAGGAGTTTGATTGTACAAGATTCCTTCTCTCTTTGTTCATGCGGTTGAGTTTTCTCTGACCAAGGGTTTGGTCCCCGATTCAATTGTGAACGTGTTTTGGCTTGATTGTGAATTTTGTTGCTTCTTTTTGTCGCCTCAGATCCAGCGTTCATTTTGTTGGCCATTAATAGGTAATTTTTAATCAAACTTATGAAAGAATGTCAATCGAGGAGGTTGAGGGTGAGGGATCAAAACACGGCAAGGCGACGGTGTTCCCAAAACAGCACCGCCTAAAATATTGACAGGCCCCATAAACGAGATGATTCCTTTGGATGTTGTTGGTTAAACCTATTCTCCATTCCCACCTTCCTGATGGCTCGTAAAATTGAAATGCTTTCTTTGGAGTTGAATGGACAAACCCCTTTTCCCTCCTTTCTGATGACTAAGTAGCTAACTAGTAAAATCAAGATACTTAAATTATTTCGTTGCTTTAATTTAAAGAATTTTAGTTTAGTTACCTCTCATTTTAGTAGCAAATTCAACAACAATGTTAGATTAGTCTACATCATTTGGAATTAGCGAATAAGATTGATCCTTGGGGGCTACTCGATTATATGTCTAATTCCAGTGTAATCATGAGCTATTGTATTGATTTACCTAGTCATGGACTTGGTTCGGGCCACCCGGCCCGGGAACCGGCCCGGCCCGCTACTGTGCGGGACTGGTTCGGCCCGGTGCTTTGGGCCCAAAACCGGTCTCTGACCCGGTTAGAAGGGAATAGCGGGGCAGGTACGGTTCTGGAAAATGGTGAACCGGTCGGGCCGGGCCCGGTTCGGGCCAAACCGCCCAAACGGCTAGTTTAAAAAAAAATCGGTGAAAAGTTTTTAAAATATTATGCACATATTCCATATATTTATGGTATTGCATTTATTCTTGATTCTCGTTACAGACTTGCTAATTTGCATGAATGTTTAATGTTCTATTATCTTGCTTTTTTGGTGAATATCCAATGTATAACGATAACTACATAGATCCTTTACAAGAATACAACGAGGTTAGTACTTTATTTTATGCCTTAATTAATGAGTTTCATGAACAATACGACAACACGCCCATTCCCCCGACACGAGCATCTTCATCTAAAGGAAAATCAATTTTTAAACCTGCATTTGGCAATCTTTTGAAAAAAAAAAAAACTCCCGCTAGTGAACAAATTACAGTTAATGAGATTGCTTTGTATTTAACATATGATGTTGATTTTGAAGAAAATAATGACTTTGGCGTTCTAAAATGGTGGAAGTCAAAAGAAAGAATGTTCCCAATTTTAGCACGGATGGCTAAGCAAGTGCTATCAATGTCAGTTTCAACAGTCGCTGTAGAACAAGAATTTAGTTCGGCCGACAATGTCCTAATAGATTCTAGAACGAGATTGAGTGCAAACTCTCTTGAGACGCTTGTATGCTACCGCGATTGGTTGAAAGCCGCACATAGAACCCAAAAACTTAGCATCACCTCCTCCCAACACTTTATGGAATATGGATGAATCAACAACCTAGGATGGCTCTACCTATGCCGGAAATTCTGATTGATTAGAATTTTACGGAGTATAATTTATTATAAAATGTATTTCATGTTTGAATTTCTTCCTCAATTCTCAATTGTAAACTTGTAGTTCATATTTCAAATAAATATATATTCATTTTTTTTATATGTAACACTTCTCAAATTAATTAATTGGTTTGAACTTACAATTAATTTTCTAAATGTTGAATCTGTTGATTATTATATTTGGAGAATTGGAGTATTAAATTATTATTTATTAAAAATTGTATTTCGTATTGTAATTTTTTTCTCAATTCTCAAATGTAGTTGTTATTTCAAATAAATGCACTTGAACTTTGTTTTTAATAAGCACTTGTATAAATTAGTAGGGAAAAAAAATTAAAACTAACCCAGCCTGGCCAGGCGGGTGGCCCGGTCCGAACCGGCACCGGTCACAACACGGGCCGGTCTCGGGCCCATTTCCACAACTCCAAGGCCCAGCCCGACCCCGGCCCAAACTGGCCCGAGTCCATGACTAGTCATTTACCTCTTATTATTTTCATTATTACTAAATAAGTTTTCTTCTTTCAAAAAAAAAAAACAACCGGTAGGCAAAAATTTGAAACTTCAACTTTACAGCTATTGAAATTAGAAACACACCAAATGGCAAAGTTAGGGGGAAAGCAACAAAAAGGCAAACTTCAATACATTGCCTCATACCCAGTAACCCAGATCAATGAATTTACAAAGCCCCCCTACAGTTTAGATGATAATTGGCCAGTCGTCTTAGCTGCGTAGAAAAAAAGTGTCTGAAGTTTATAGAGAGAATACTACAATATTAAAAACAAATGAAAATCAAATAAAACAATTATGTCAATTTACATCACGCCTCATTTTGAAGCCTAAGACAACATAATAAAAATAAAAAAGCAGCAGCAGCAGGCACACAGGCCAATCCAGCTGTGTATACATTAAAGAATTAAAAGATTAGATCGCCAAGGGCTTATAGGGAGTCAAACTCAACACCTCTCCGCCTATCCAAGGATTCCAAGCAAGAACCGAAATACATCGCTAAGAGATATGATACCTTCAACACGCTTGCTTCAAACTCAACACCTCTCCGCCTATCCAAGCAAGAACTGAAATACATCGCTAAGAGATATGATACCTTCAACACGCTTGGTTCCAGCCTCTACAATTACAAGCCGCCTCACACCTAATAGAAACAAAATGTTTTATATTGCAACAAAATGGCTTTTGTGCCCTTGGTAAAATAGTATGGTGTCAAAGAGAGGCAAAAAATAGTTGACCTGGCTTTGATAATTTGTCCATTATTTTATGGAGCGGATCAGAACGTAAGCACATATGACATCTTTCATTGCCAACCACATAGGGAGAAGAAGGGTATGGTTCCTCTCCAAGTTGCAGTGCCTAAAAAGCATTGTGCAAAAATGTGTATAAAGTTTGCCATCTAAAGATTGATTAAAATACAGAGTTCAGCAACAAAAGAAATTATTGCTCTCTTCACTAAACATAGAGTTGCAATTTAAAGTTTCACTTTTGATGCCCATGATCTGTGATTGACACACTGCTTACTCGCTTGCAAAAAAGAAAAGGGGCTATACTCATTGTAGTCTTTAGAAGAAGAAAATTAAAAAAGAAAGTGATATGTAGATTATTTAGAAACAGCCAAAAAAGGTATGAAGTTTTTAAGGGGAAGCGGAGAAGGGGTAATACTGTCATTTTAAAGAAAATATAAACCAAATAATGAACGATAAATTTATTTTGAAACATCCACAAAGGAAAACATGATATTTTCAAGCGACAGGGGAAAATGTGATAAACAATTACACAGACATGCGGTATTGAACAATACACTCTTTAATCGGCTTCATTGTACTTACCTGATGAATTGTCATTTCATCAAGATTGATATGTGTGTAGATTTTGTCCTTGGCCAAAGCTGTAATATCACTGTAGATGGACTTAGAAGATTAACATTGAGCTGTGATTTAGAGACAGAATAAGACGTGAGACTAAGTTATTAAAATCAACGCCAACCTTCGGGAATATATATCCAATAATGAGTCATTCTCGTCAACAATGGGAATTGAACCAACTTGAGCTGCAAAAGCCAATGAATAAAAGCCTAATAAGCCTATAGCATAAACTATTCAGAGTAATCATTTCTTACTGGTACTGTTACCAAACTCAGAGCAAAAAATAATACTCCATCTGTCCCTATATTACTTCAAATTTTTCAAGAAAGTGAGAAGTGAACGGTAAAAATTTAGTCAAAAATTTAGCCAGAAGAGAGAAATATTGTGAAATACATACTTATAAAAATTGAAATGATTTTGGGACAGAACATCGGAAAGTATGTAAACAATTTACGAATACAGTGAGCATTCAATATCCAAACAAAGAAAACCAAAAAACGAATAGGAAAGCCAACCTTGAATTAATAAATCCAATGCGGCACTAAGAGAGTCGGTCGGTCTCAACATTGCCAAAGGTCGTGGATTTGGCTCTCCGATTTGGGGAACCCAGGTGCCCAAAGGTATTGCATTGATTGGGAATTGAAGAATGGGTAGAGATGCTGGTGAATGCCTGAAATACCTGCAAATATCTGCAAATTGGCACAAATCGCGTTAGATCATAAACCAGATAGAATTCCTATTGTGGTTTTACAAAACTAAGTATAAGAACCTTACATTTTAGTACTTCAGACAGGGAAGTGAGATACAGTAGCTGTGGGTATGATCCATCTTCTGCTGATGAATGAATGATGGGAACTGTTGCTATACCATTTTGTAAAATTTTCAAAGCAACATTTTTCAAGTTATCATCTGGACCAGCCTGCACATATAGATATAGGTCAAGAAAATTTACTGGTAAGTAGGACAACTCCATATATTAATATCAATTGAAGTATACACATTTAATCGACATCATCAACTTAATTCCAACTATGTTGGCATAGGTGACATGAAATTTAAAGTCTCAATGTTAACACTAGTTGCATGCAACAAGAACATAACACCTTAGCGGAGAAGTTTCACAACGGATGCTTTCTTCTTCGAGTGCAAGATTCTTAAGAAGGAAGTATGCGATGAAATTTCCAAAAAATATCTTTTAGGTACACTTGCATTGATAAAACCATTAGATGGAGAAGAGTTCAGACAGTTGTCATTAACATGTCTCACTTTAAAATTGATATTATAAAATTAAAATGCACATTATAGAATGTGAATGCATGTATTTAAAAGTAATAAAAATCTATAAATTTTAAAAAATAAACAGAGAATAAATAAAGGGATGCTTAGCTGATAGAAACCTCCAGATAATCCAGAACAATTACAGCAAGATTAATAAGAAACAGATGAACACTTTATTGAATCAAGAAGAACAGTACAATAACCAAGGCCGAAGCCTCCCAAAAGAGAAGAGAGAGTGATTCTGAGGTTTCTATCATTAGCAGGGTAAGACAAAGCTGATAAAGTGATAATAGTTTCAGGAAAAAGTGAGAAGATAAAAACTTAATGCATGGATACAAAATTTCAGGATTTTGGCTTTTTATTTGTACTAAACAGATAATACTAGTTTCCAGCATGACCATATACGTCAATAAATCATCAAATCCAAAGAGAATGCCACAGACTATGACATAGTATGTACTAATAAACTCACAGACACAATTAGTCTTGTTCCCCTTCTCTCATTAGTTTGTCGGTTTAAGTAAGACTTTGCTTCTTTCCAAGCAGAAATAGTGTGTGTCTCAAGTTCCTCCTCTGTGAGGTTTGACCCATGAGTTCCCAGCTGCAAATAAGAAAACAGGTCCTTAACACATCTTTTTCGTAATTAAGTTGATGGGCTTAAAGCTCATAGTAAGGTTTCTACTGCATAAATGAGTATGAGTGTGACAATATTACTATATACTTGCCTCCCGCATGATCAAGATAAAATCCAATGCACTCAGAACTCCAACAAAATTTCCCCTGTTAGAATCCCAAAGTGGAGCCATAGGAATACCCTGGGAATACAAGCACATAGATATTATGCGTATGAATTTGATAGAATATAACAAGGACAGAAAATAAAAATTATTATTTAAAAAGCTGTTTAGTTGCACATGAACATTCATCGAGATAAATGACTCACTCTAAACACCAAATTAGCAGCCAGGTCTAAAATGTTTGAGGTGGGAACAAAATTCATTGTAAAAGAGGAATTACCTGCTCGTGCAGGATATGAAATGCCTGCTTTACAGGGAGTTCAACATCTAAAGCAATGACCTGAAAGACACAACTAAATCAAAGAAGGGAATCGATGATTTGATCATTTATATTCAAGGATAATAGTGTAGACCATTTGAACCTTTCCTGACTCGGGAAGCAACTCATAAGCAATATGTGCACACAAGACTGCAGTTATATGTTGACGAGATCTGTCTATATCTGTCTGCGTTATTCTCGAAATGGGATTTGAGGTACCATCTGACACCCTAACCTGAAGAACACCATATAAATTTGTATATATAAATACGAGATTATGTAAACTGTCCTGATATCTAGAACAATAATAAAACAGTTTATGTGCATGAAGGGTAAAAGTGTTTACAAAATCAATTGTTACTCATGTAATCATGTCAAGTTCGATGACAACCAAAAAACAACTAATTGTTATTTGTAAAAGCTGATAAAAAAAATTAGTGTACACTACTCTCTTGGGTTCTAGAAACAGAGATGGGTTTTTCAAATACATAAATAATCTTCGATTTAATTCCTCCATATTAGATTTTTTGTTTCATTTTCTTTTTTGCAAAGTATTTTCTTGATTTCAGTTCCATATTGGTAACCCTTAAGTCTTAACTAACTTTTCCATTCGGTAAAAAACACTTAGGGCCTGTTTACTAACAGAGATGTTTTCCAGTTTTCTAGAAAACTGGAAAACTGGAAAACAGAAAACGTGTTTACCAAA